TCATGGAAGCTCACTCAGCCCTGGTCCTCCCTGATGATGGGAGAGGCTCTACTGAGACAAGTGCTGCCTTCTCTGCTGCCTTCTCTGCTTTGTCCAGGCTGCCCTACTCAGGCTCAAAAAGGAAGGCTGAAATCAACCGAGGTGATGTCAGTTAGTACATAGAGCCCCACACTCAATAAGCTTCGATATTTATCTAGCAACTGAGCACAGAAAGATGTCTGATGCAAAAGAAAACCCAACGAACTGCTACAGTGAGATATGGTGCTTTGGGATCTTTATGGGGACAGTTGGAAGTGTTCGTGGAGATCCAATTCTCCTATCCCCTCAGTGACTCAGGGCTGGGCAGAGCATGCACATACAATGCTAACCCTGTTTGGCAGGCCTCACAAGCAGCTCTGATCGATTTCTCATCAGCCACTCAACCTTTGTCCTCTCCCAAACGCAGAAGGAGGGGGCCCTCCACACTGGCATCCCCCACCACTAGCAGCAATGCCAGAACTTGGCTGCTGAAACAATAAATCTCTATGTGGTCCAGAGAGAAAGGGTGCCCTGTACCTGCTAAGCAGGGCCAGTGCACCCTAACCCCTGCAAAGGGGGTGAGGGGGAGAGGTTGGAATGAAGACAGGCATCAAACTAGAAACAGGCCGTCCCCTCCCCCAGTCACTATCTCCACTTTGCATTGGCAAATAAGGCCTCTGACCCACACTTCAACTAGTGAACATTTCTGCTGTGCAAAACTGGGGGCTCAGACACAAGATTGATCCCCCTGAGCAAGGGGGAGAGGAACCCACTGCAGCTCAGCTTTACAAATGAACCCTTAGGCCAGCTGAGGTGGGTAGTTACACCAGAGCCTATGTATGGTCCAGATCTAACTAGCCAGTAATTGAAACAAAAGCCACAATCACTTCCCAGTGGGATATTTTAGATAGAGCCATTTGCACATCTGGAAAGGGGAAGGAGGAAACAGAAGGGGGCAAGAAAAAAAGTCCTTTACTCTGGGAATTTTTTATTTGTTTGACCTCAAGGCAAAGACTTAAATTAATCATAATCTTTGGTTCATGACATATTCATCATTGGTTTATGCAGGGCCACTTGTTTTTTTATTAATTTTCATTCACCTTTATGCAAAAAGCAATAGAGAATTACAGCAGTCTGTCTAGGGAAATGTCCTAAGGACTGGTGGGAAAAATAAATTCAAAATCATCTTGAAGGGAAAACTTGAGGACCTATTCGGCAGTGTCATTTGGAAATAGTTTTCCCCTTGTTTGGTTACATAATTTTTGTAACTTAATCTAAGTGAAGGAATTAAGCTACATATAAGTTCTGGTGGTTAAAACAATCTTGCTAGTTCTGATATTCTGATTATCTGAGCATTGCACTACATCTTACAAGTTGAACTAATGGTTTTAGATACTATCTTTTGCCTTTTAAACAGTGTTCTTTTTAAAATGAATTTGTTTTGCCGTACATGTTTGTAAAATCTTTGGGTGGGGGAGAAAGAAGTTTCCCTAGACTTCTTTTAAATTTGTAGTGAAGGCAATTTTTAAAAATAAAGTTTTGAATATCTAAAAAGAAAAAAAACTATGAAACTATTAGAAGAAAATATAGGGGATAAGTTCTATGACATTGGTCTAGACAAAGTTTTTTGGGTAAAACCTCAAAACTACAGCTAACAAAAGCAAAAGTAGACAAATAGAATTACATCAAACTAAAGAGCTTCTGCACAGCAGAAGAAACAATCAACAGAGTGAAGAGACAACCTACAGAGTAAAAGAACATATTCACAAACTATACATCTGATAAGGGGCTAATATAAAAAAAAAAAAAATAGAGAACTCAACTCAATAACAACAACAAAAAAAGGCCCTATGATAAAATGGGCAAAAGACCTGAATAGGCATCTTTCAAAAGATGATATAGAAATGGCAAAAAGGTATATAAAAACATGCTCAACATCCCTAGTCATCAGGGAAATACAAATCAAAACTACCATGAGATATATCACCTATGAGGCTAGGCACAGTGGCTCATACCTGTAATCCTAGCACTCTGGAAGGCTGAGGTGGGTGGATTGCCTGAGCTCACAAGTTCGAGACCAGACTGAACAAGAGGGAAACACTGCCTCTAAAAAGAGCCCAGCATTATGGCAGGTACCTGTAGTCCTAACTACTTGGGAGGCTGAGGCCAGAGAATTGCTTGGGCCCAAGAGTTTGAGATTGCTGTGAGCTGTGATGCCATAGCACTATACCGAGGGCAAAAAGTGAGACTCTGTCTCAAAATAAAAAAGAGAGAGAGAGAGATCACCTAACTGCAGCTAAAATGGCTACTATCAAAAAGACAAAAAAATAACAAGTGCTGGCAAAGATGTGGAGAAAAGGGAACCCTTACATGCTGTTGGTGAAAATGTAAATTAGCACAGCCATTATGGAAAATAGTATGAAAGCTCCTCAAAAAATTAAAAATAGAACTATCATATGACCCAGCAATCTTACTACTAGATATTTATTCAAAGGAAATAAAATCAATATGCCAAAGAGATATCTGTACTCCCATGTTTACTGCAGAATTGTTTACAGTGGCCAAGATATGAAATCGACCTAAATGTCTGTCAGTGGAAAAACAAATAAAGAAAATGTGGTGTATATACAATGAAATACTATTCATTCATAGAAAAAGAATGAAATCCTGTCATTTGCAACAACATGGATGAACCTGGACAGCATTATGTTAAGTGAAATAAGCCAGGCACAGAAAGACAAGTACTACATGATTCCATGCCTGTGTAGACTCTAACAAAGTTGATCTCATAGAAGTAGAGAGCAGAATAGTGGGTGAGGAAGAAAGGGAGAAGGGAGGATGGGGAGAAGTTGGTTAAAGGTACATAATTACAGTTGAATAGGGATCTATCATACCACAGGTGACTATAGGTAAGGACAAGTGATTATATTCTTTAAAAAGGCAGAGATAGATCTTAAGTACTCTTATTACAAAAATGATAACTGACCAGGCATGGTGGCTCACACCTATAGTCCCACAAGGCAGGTGGATTGCCTGAGCTCTGAGGTTCGAGACCATCCTGAGCTGGAGTGAGCCAGAGTGAGACCTCGTCTCTACCCCAAAAAGCCAGGCGTTATAGAGGGTACCTGTAATCCCAGCTACTTTGGAGGCTACGGGCAAGAAAATCACTAAAGGAAGAAAAGAAAAAAAACTGAGAAAATTAAAAATAAAAAACTTCAAACTAAGATGAATGAAAGCCAGTTGAAAGCAAAATTAAAAAAAAAAGATAACTATATGAGGTAATACAACTGTTAATTCCCTACATTTAACCACTTCACAATGCATATGTTGTACATGATAAATACAAACATAATCTGTCAAATTTTAAAAATACAATAAAATTAAAAAGAAATAGGCTCGGCGCCTGTAACACAGTGGTTATGGCGCCAGCCTTATACACTGAGGCTGGTGGGTTCAAACCCAGCTTGGGCCAGCTAAACAACAATGACAACTGCAACCAAAAAATAGCTGAGCATTATGATGGGAGCCTGTAGTCCCAGCTACTTGGGAGGCTGAGGCAAGAGAACCACTTAAGCCTAAGAGTTAGAGGTTGCTATGAGCTGTGACGCCACAGCACTCTACTCAGGGCGACAGCTTGAGTCTCTGTCTCAAAAAATAATAATAATAAAAATAAAGTTCTGACTCAGACCTCTTAATTCCTGTTTTATTCTATTTCTCAGACTTCTTAAATCTACTTCCTGCCTCTAGTCATGCTAAAGAACCAAAAAAGTGGAACCCTTAAATGACTGTTAAATATGCCTTATCTGCAGATCATTTCAAACACCAATAAAATAAATCTCCATCAGGTGCCTACACAGTGCTGAGCTCTGGGGACACACTGATGACAAGATGGGTTCAATCCCTGCCTTCACTCAGCTCCCTGTCTCCAAAGTAGACAGAGATTAAACAAAGACAAGCAGTTGACATCAGCCTAGAAGAGCTCCTCCCCCATCCCATCCTCCCCTGTAACATTTTCAGTAAATTGTGCAGGATTAAAGAAGTGGCTGCCCCCACAGTAATTAAAAGAGTCCTGACCAGCGTCCCAGGTAGACAAGTAGCTGCTCAGAGCTGAGCAACCCCAAAATCAGGTGCTTCCTATATAATAGCCTCCAATCTGATACTTGATAGCTGCTGGTTTTCAGAGTCAAACAAATGTCAGGAAATTTTATGAAGGAAGGCAGGAAGCAAATAAAGGGGCAAGAACTGGGGTCTAGACCTCTGAGAAGCTCAATTAGTGAGCCAGATAAAGTTAAACCAAAAGGGTGTGCTTTTGGTTTCCTAGAAAGCCAGCTGGAAAAGATGCCAATCCTTAAGCCTCTGTCACTCAAAAGATTAACGGAAGAGACCGAGGAGTGCCCAAAGGGAATACTGCAACAAGCCAGATGTTTCTGCTCCTCCTGTGATGCTGCCACACTCAACCAGAGGCACTCTTTTGGGCCACCAAGAACCTGTCAACAAGAGCTGGAGTCTTTGGGGATATGCTGAAATTTAAACATCATCCTTTAGCAATACAGACACCAAAACATATTAAGAACACTCTCTACAGACTCACCTGATGCATCTGGGCCCTCTATTTTCTCACCAGCCCTCTCTTCCTTTAATAGGGATGGCATCTCTCATTGGATGAACAGTCCCTGCAGGGTGTGGTTATGGGGAAAGCACATAACCTGCATATAACCTGGGATTTGGTTCTCTGAGATGCATATGCACCAGAGCGATTGAAGCAAGTGGTTTCACCTGGCAGAGTCTCACTTCCTCAACTGCAGGATGGGGACATTTAAAAGACCTACCTTCCTGTTCTTGTTCAAACAAGAGATTTTGTAATGAGCCCAGCCCAAATGTTTGTAAGTGGTAGCTCCTACTGCTGCATATAAATGCAACCAGGTAATCACATGCTCACAACAGCAGCTTCCCCTTGGTACTTGCTAAGCACGTGTGTGTGTGTGTGTGTGTGTGTGTGTGTGTGTGTTTGAGAAAGTAAGAGAGAGAGAGAGAGGTGAGGAGAGAACAATCAAAGCAACTGGAATACACAGAGCCTGTTTACAGTTTGGGTTTATGAGCCATCACTTCAATTATTATTAATATCAAACTAACAAACTAGAGAAACTGGAGGGAACCTAACCAAAGTCCCCTGTTTTCCCCTGAGGTCCCTAGCTTCCCCTAAAAGTTCTTCCTCTGGTCTCAGGAGGCAGGGAAGGAGGGCCATATGGCTTGAGACACTAGACATGCCCAGCAGCAAATGAGCCCCCCACCATTTGTCTCGGGGCCTCTCTCCTTTCGACCCTCATGTGGGCGGGCATCCAGATTTCAGCCGGGGTGCTCTGGTCTGCATCTCTGTCTTGACTGTTCCTAATTATTGGAGGGAACGCATGGCTCGCCTGACCTCAGAGTTTAAGAGCTCTGAGTCCTAATATCAAACCAAGCAGCTTCATTTAAAAGCCATCCTCATCTGCATCCATAAAAGTCACTCCCGGAGCCCTTACGTGCCCCAGCTTTGGGAATGCCTGCTGTCGAAGATTTATGACACGCCCTGGATCTAATCTGCCACACTTTAACTGCTGCTGTTGCACATCTGGTCATAAAAGCAAGGGCCAGCCCAACACGGGGACAAACACTTTTCTTTCCTAAGTGGCTGCAAATCTGATCTCACAGTGATAGCAGGGCTCGGATGTAATCAGCCCAGCATCTGGGCTGTCCTTAGGGCTCCCCAAGCATCAGAAAGCTTTTCCTCCATACAGGGCAGCTATAAAGATGATTCTCCTATAGCAAAAGTGATGAATAAAGAACCTGTGATCTGAACAGGTGGTAACAGGGCTGGGCTGAAGGACATCCCGGAAAGGAGGCACAAGTTGATGGAGGAGCCAGCATGGTTTTCACAGAGTTCCTAGCTTAATTCACATGGTCTCTGAGGCAAAGAGCTACCCTGAAAGGCAACCACCCTGACATAACAGATGTTTGGCCTTAAGTTTGGTCAAACGAACAACTAGGAGGTTTAACAGTTTAACTTTTTTTAAGTCGGTGAAATACGTATTGGATTATTTGGGATGGGGGACGCAATAATTTAGACCACAAATGAACACAGTGCTGTCGGTTCCAGGAGATTTTACAATGCCCTGGACAGCCTGTCCTGTGTACAGAATTGGCACTTTTCATGCCTTTCAGAAACTCCAATCAGACCAAGGTTCAACAAGTAATTCAACCTCCCGGCATCGATCCCAGGGGAAGAGACCCCTGAACACTGTTCAGCTCTTCCCCACCACCTCACCACCGTCCCCCCTACCCTTGCCCCTCCTCCAGGCCCTGCCCGACACGAGGGGGCATTAAAATTATCTGCTGTGGGTTTACGAGCAGGGATTGCCTTTTAGAAACAACAACACAAGGACCTTGTGAGGCTCGCGGGTAACCTAAAACTCTCTAAGCAGAGCTGCGGCCCCCACCCCCACGCCTGCCAAGAACGCCAGCGCGCCGGAGCGGGCGCAGTGTTTGACCACAGCGAAGCCCTACTCTGGCGGACAGCGAGATTCTTTGAGACGCAGGAGGCACCTCCGAGGGTCTCAGAGCAAAACGCCCTGGGAGAAGAGAGCGGGAAAGAAAACCCACCAGTGACAGTTCGGGGAGGGGGTAGGTGCTGTGAAAAAAGGGGTGGCGCCATAGGGAGAAACAATTACTTCAGCAACTTCGCTTAGAAGCCCTCAGGCGACCGGGTAGTAGTAGGCAGAGGACAAGGTCTGACACTTCCCTTCCCCCTGCTCCTGCCCTCGGGGATGAGGGCAAAGCCACCTACTCTCCCTCCGCAGGTGGGCGCGCAGTTGGGGGCGCACTTACCCTGGGGCCGGTGGTGCGGTGGCCGCGAGCCGGGGACAGCTGCACCAACACCAGCAGCAAGTGAGGCGTGAGCAGGCGGGCGCAGCGCGCGGGCAGCATAGTGCCAGCCGGGCCAGGCAGCCGGCAGCGGGCAGGGGTCGCGGGCTCCGCGGGGCGCACACTGCGCCTGCCTGCCTGCCTTTCTTCTTCGCTCCGGGGCCGTGCTCCGGGGTCTCGCGGAAGCTGCGGTCAGAGGACACGGTCAAGAATCGCGGAGGAGGGGAGCTGGGGCGCGAGCGTGTGCTCTGCGCGCGGCGCTCGCTCGGCTCGGCAGGGCCGCGGCGGCAGCAGGTTGGATGCCGGAGCCCGGGCCATGGGAATTCCCGTTATAAACCCCCGGGAGGGGAGGGGCGGAGCCCGGCCGGCCTGACTGACGGCCCGAGAAGCCTGTAGCAGCCGACCCTCTAGCAGGTGAAAGCCAATGGGAGAGGGGCACGAGGGGCGGCTCGTGGTCAATCCCTCACTGTCTCCCACCAAGGAGATCTGAGCAGGGGTCTTCAGGGGAGACCAGTAACTTTCTCTTGATCCTCCCGTCCGCGGCAGCCTAAGAAAGCTCCAGGAGCCTTAAACCCACCAGAATGCTACCTGCCTAATAATAATGCCGTAAGCATGCACAGTCCTTAGCTTAAGGACGGAGTTTCCCCAACCGCCCTGTAAAGTAGGCAGGCAGAATTTTTCAAATGGGAATGCTATATATGGCACTGCGAAATCCCCCTCTCCACTGCTTCAACATCAAGAGCAGGTGGGCAGGTGACCAGCACAGGATGAGGCTGTGCTGGCATTGGGAGTGGGGGACAGGAGCATTCGCTTCTTCCAAAGAAGCTCCCCGAGGGTGACACCTTGAGTCCCACAGCACCTGCCCGGGAAATTCTCGAGGGGACATGGTGAAGCATGCAATTGGGCATCGCCCACTGGGGAGGGCCCATGTGTGTATAAGAATGCCCACCCATGACCCTGTGGTCCTGGTGATCTGGGATTGGAGCGCACAGGAGCAGGCATCCTGGCTCCCCACCCTAAACTGGAGGGCAAGGGACAGCTTCTCTGACCTAGCAGCCTGGGGAGGAACAGTCAGAGGGACCCTGGTCCCTTGGTCAGGGAGAAAGAGGAAAAGCATTAATGGGGAAAAGGTAGTCTGTGAGTGCCGAGATCCCAGGCAGGGGTCAAGAAAGAGAGAGATCTCTCGGAGAGGACAGCTCAGCAAAGAGTCCAGTCAGATGCTGGAGGGCACTGGCCAGGGTGTTCCGCCATCTTGGAAATGGTCACAGCTGCATCGAGCAGCTCCTGACACAGCAAAGTGCTCCACTGCGTTCAACCCAAGAAAGCCATGGTTATCTTCTTATGCGGAGCACATCCACCCTATTGCCCACTCCCGTTGGCATAAGCTACTGACTTCATGGGGAGGACTTCTTTTCTCCAACCAGACCGTAAATACCAGCACTTAACTCCTCCTCTCTCTCTGGACAGAGAGGTCTCCCCGGGCTTCTCCCCTGGATTATATGAACAAGCTTCCCACCTGATTCCTGCATTCAATTTTGTCTACTCCCCATAACGGCCCCCTCCAGCCCCCCACCCTCAGCAAGTCATCCTTCTAAATAGTAAAACTAAATACACCACTTCCTGCTTAAAAGACTTCCCCTATGCCCAGTGCCCTCAAACCAAAAAACCCCAGACTGGCTGCTGGAACAATAACAAAGTACTTGTGGTTCTCCAAACAAAAATGGAAAAGATCTCTAAAAGAATTGTCTATCTTTTCTCCTACTGGGAATTACTGCTGTGGTCAGACTCTGGAGCTAGACAGCAGGGGTTCAAATCCTGGGTCTGCCACCTAGTGGCATAACCTTGAACAAGTCATTTGACTTCTCCAGAGCTCAGTTCCTCTTTGTGTAAAATGTGGATGAAAATGGTATTCACTATGAGTTGTTGTCAAAGTTAAAGAAAATGGATTGTGTAGAGCCTTAGAATGATTATTACAAATATCACAAAGCTAGCATTTGAAGAGGGTACGACAAATGCCTCGTCTCATTGTATCCTCAGAGTGACCCTGTGAAATAAATAGGTTAGACATTGCTACTGATGGACACTCCAGATTGTGACTAGCCTGGCCTCGTTTGGCTAGTAAATGACAGAGCTGAGATTCAAGGCAAGGTTTTCAGCATCTAATTCCACTTCTGTCATGTAATGACTGCAATCTCCGAGGTTCCCTGTGTTAATGGGGCATTTCTTCAGTGGCCTACAAGGTAATTGAGACTTGTGAGCTCTGCTGAGCTTCAGGAGAAGAGCGTGTAAACAACCAGGAAACAGCCCTTATGATATGACATACTGAGAATTTGCCCAGCTGGACTTGTGATACTCGTCCAGTGTTGTTCCTCGTGCATCAATTTCCATGTGCCCTTGTAAGTACCAAGAGCTCAACCAGATAGAAACGTTACTGTCAGGCTCAGCAGCCTAACAGGTTTTTTTCTGACTCTCCCACCTGGCTACATGCACCCATCAAGCTGGTCAACTTCTTCCTGTTGCTGAAATTATTGAGAAATCTGTTGGAGTAAGTAAATACGCTTGAAATGGCCCTCCAGTATCTGGCAGCACAAAATACCCAGGGAAAAAGCATTGCAATAGTCCTTTCCATCCCAAGCACCAAATGCTGCTTTCCTGCCAGAAGGCTTATTTCCAAGTGGTCATTGGTCCAAAAGTCTACATTATTCTGAATTTCAATCATGTAGCTTAGTTTAAAATATGAGCAACTGCTTTCCAGTTACTTTGCTCAGTAAGTATTTGCTTTCCCTCTGGTTGGCACGTGAGGCCTCTTATAACCATGGCCGTCATTCAAGCGATGCATTTTCTTCTCCGAACTCCTCTCAAGCTGAGAAGGTTAGAAATTCCAGAGAACTACTAGTCCCAAACAGCATCTCTCTGCCAGGCTCAATATTCTGATCCAGGCGAAAAAGTGAAATTGACAAGTTCCTTCTGTCCCTGAAGAAGGCCAGGCTTATAGTCCAAAAATAAATCTAGCTAGGCTGGCATCTGGTTTATCCAGTTTCAGCCATACTCCTTGCCTTGTGGGACTTCTGTTTGCAAGGAGATATTTCAATAGAAGAAAAATGATACTTTATATCATATATATTGAGGTCTTAGGGCCTCAGATATTTAGCACTAGCTGAGAATGCCAATTTCAAATATATTTTTGTGTTTCTGTATAATCCAGAGGAATCTTGCCTTGTTTTGTATTTAGAATAGCACCTTTCTGTTCATTTTTACAAGAACCTCAATGCATGTCTTTCTGTGCCCACTACAATACTCATTATAAGGAGGGCTCTTTGGATGCACAGCTAGCACTCTGAGAGGTTCTAATTTAAGACACAGACTAGCCTGATAGCTAGAAACCATATCTAAGAGTACAGCCTGCAGTGTGTTTTGGGAACTCGAGAGAGTGAGGATCCACTGTAGACCTAATGGGCAGGAAGATCTCATGAAGGAGGAACGTCCTGAATGGGATTCTGCAGCAAAGTATACCCTTACTTATATCTGCTTCACCTGTTACAATAACAGAGTGAGGTGAGCTATGTCAAAGGTTCAAGACTTTTGTCAAATACACTACAGAGCTCAGAAGCTTGTGACAGCAAGAGTCTTGGGTTCTGTTACTAGATTTAGTGCTAACTTGCTATAACCTTAGCATTAGGCTAAAGGAGGTATTATTAGTCCCATTATGAAAATGAGGTTAACCCACATTCATTATCCTTACTAAGTTCACTTTTTAAACTCTAAATATACATGACAAAAATAATTAGAATGACAAACAATTTAGAAGCTTATTTTTCTCTTTGGTAGATAAACTCCATTCAAAATCTCCAACAGCTCCCTCTAACCCCTTCTATTATTTTTCTGTCATAATAAGCAGCTGTATCAGGTGGTCCAAGATGGCTGCTTAGCCCTGGCCATCACATCTGTCTTCCAACGAGAAGGAAAAGTCCAGTGGGAGGCAAGGCCAGGCACTGTGGCTTACACATACAATCCTCCCACTCTGGAAAGCCAAGGCAGGAGGATCACCTGAGGCCAAGAATTCAAAACCAGCCAGAGCAAGAGTAAGACTTCATCTCTACTAAAAATAGAAAAAAAATAACTAGGTATGGTGGCATGTGCCTATAATCCCAGCTACTATGGAAGTTGAGGCATGAGGATTGCTTGAGTCTAAGAATTCGAGGTTACAGTGAGCTATGATTAGGCCACTACACTCCAGCCTAGGCAACACAGTAAGACCCTATTTCTTAAAAAAATGTATTCTAGACTTTCCTAATTGTTTTTGTTGTTGTTGTTGTTTTGAGACAGAGTCTCACTATGTCACCCTCAGTAGAGTGCTCTAGGGTTTAAGCAATTCTCCTGCCTCAGCCTCCCTAGTAGCTGGGACTACAGGCACCCGCCACAGTGCCCAGCTATTTTTTGTTGCAGTTGTCATTGTTGTTTATCAGGCCCAGGCCAGGTTCAAACTCGCCACCCTCAGTGTATGTGGCTGGCGCTGTAACCACTGTACTACAGGCACCAAGCCTTGAAATAGAAAACAAACCTGAGCTGAAAATATCCATTCATTCAATGTCATGAACCTGGAACATATTTATCTTATAAATACTGATTCCAAATTTCAAACGTATCTGTGATTGGGTCCAGTCTATTATTCCTCGTGGTTCTTCTGTTTGTACTTGTATCATCAAAACACAATACTTTTCAAAGCTTTGATAACTCATAATTTGGTTAAAGAGTGTTTATCTTTGTCCCGTATTGCAAAGCGTTTTCATTTTTTCTCTTTTAGGTTGATAAACACAGTTTAAAATATTTCATTCAATTAATAATTTCTTTCCCACTGCATCTGTTTCCTCTTTATATATACATCTTTACATATATACAGCATTTGTCTATTTACATAAATTTTGCACAAAAATATCTAAACAATATTTTCATACATCTTTTTAGAAAAACAGGAATACCCAGGCTCTTGTCCTAAATATTGTGTAATTAAGGTCATCTTGTTAGGTGACTAACTGGATGAAAGTACCATATTTCCTTTTTGTCCTTACAAACATGCTTAATTCATTAATTCTTGAGTTTGAACAAAATCATCTAGGATATTATTATCCAAAGACTCATAGGCTAAGATATCTTGTGTAATCAATTTCACCATCACTTTTCTAGACTTTGCTATTTCTTTGAATTCGTCTTCTGATTTATCTAATAATTATGTAACCTCTTCCTCTATCACTTTTCTTCTCTTTGCCATCATAGGAAGAAAGTAAAAACCCCAGATTTCTCAGCCCTACTTTAAAAAAAAAACATAAGAGCAT